TTCTCTTACGGTCGAGTTGCACACTCGGGGCAGGGAACTGCCTCCCTAGTTTTGGGCTTGAGCTTGACTCGCCCGCTCCTGGTGGCATATCCTTTTTTGGGACCTCCAGGTGACTAATCCTGGAGTAATCCTCCAATGCGGTCATGTCCATGCCGTCAAAGAACAAGTCGAGGGCATCATTTGGGCCCGGTACCGTCTCGTTTGATTTCTCTTTGTCAGCTTGAGCCTCTTGGAACATGGACTCAGTGTGGGATGGCGTCTCCGCGATATCGATGACACCAGCTACCTCATTCGGGGCAGGAGCGGCTTCATGGGAGGCCGTGGCCTCCGACTCTCCCTTTGGTTCCCGAGCTAGAGGGGGATCGACCTCGTAGTCACCTTTTCCGATTGCCGCCTGATGCCCCTCGCTGATGGTCGACTCGTGAGCAATGAACTCAACGTCGTCATCCTTAGGGTAATCCCTGAGTCGGTAGAGGGAATCAAAGTCCGGTACCCTAGACTTGGTGCTCTTTTTGTTGCTTTTCCGGACCTGGACGACCACCCTCTTCTTCTTTACCTCGGCATCTGGGGAACCCGATGACTTTCTTTTCTTCTTATTTTTCTCCTCCTTTGCGGCAACCCCGGGATGTACCGGAGCGGAGGGTTCGGCAAGCGATGACAGATTTTCATCCTCATCCAACAACCTGAGCTCGGTGGTCTTGGGCAAACCTATGAGAAGGAAGAAGACTTAGCGAAATACAAGTCAAGTGTGTGAGTGTAATCATTCAGGATAAAGCCTCACCACGGGAACGAGCCTCCCACTTGCCCTGCGAAAGCTTGCGCCATGCGCGCTCAAAGTAAGACATTTGTTTGCAGATCCCCTCAATATCCTTGAAGCGAGGGACTGCATTAGGAACCCTGGCAACCGTTGTATGACGATAAACACAGGCAATTAGGAAAAGATTATAAGGGAGTACCAAATACCTAAGAAGGAAAAAGACTTACGAGATGCGTTCCACTTTTCGGGGGAACTGTAGAAATTCTGAGGGAATGAAATCTTCGATTTTTTCCAGAACGAACCTCCCCTGCCAAACTCGATCTTGGTCCTCGTCGATGCTCGAGAACGGAGCTTTACATGCTCGGCGAACGAGCTTGATCAACCCCCCTCGGAAGATTCGGGAACTGTAGAGACGAAGCAGATGGTCGAGGATGGACCACGGTGCTCTGGTGTTGTTTACGAAGTGGCGGAGGAGGATTACGATCCTTGAAAATGACGAGTGAATCTTCCCAAGACAGACCTCGTACCTTTTGCAGAAATCGAGGACTATGGGATCCACCGGGGCGAGCGTGAAGGGGTGAGTGTAAACACTTAGGTACCCCTCCACGTGAGTGGTGATGTCTTTGTTGGGCCAGGGGAAGACCACCTCCTTCCCCTCCCAGATACAGTCTGCCCAAACTGTAGGGAGTATCTCCCCAGTAACGGAGCATATGTACCTCCATGCTCCCTCGCCTCGGTCCTGTTGATTGAAGGCCTTCTCGATGTTGAAGTCATTCTCAATAGAGCAGCTCCCCGGGACAAAACTCTTCAAGGGAGGCTCCTGGGCCACCTCAAAAAATGGCCAGCTCGGTATTTGTGGCCGGGTTGGAAGATGAATGGGTGGTTTGCTGAGGCACGTATTTAGAAGTTTTTGCTATCGGATTCTGAAAAATGTGAAGGTTTGAAGAAAATATATGAAGATTTGAAGATGGGATGAAGATATGAAGGTCTGGGTTGAAGATTCAAAGAGAAAGTATGAAGGTTTGAGGATGAAGATATGAAGATCTAAGGAGCAAGGTATGAAGATTTGAAAGGGTTAAAGGTAAGTGGAAAATTCGAGGGTAAATCAAAGAGCTCTCGAATCGGAAAGTGGGGAAGTGAAAAAGAGGTTGGAGTTTTTATAGAGGAAGGACAATCAATGCATGACGTTTCACATTCGAGGACAGTCAACCGACAGTTGACACGTGTCCGAAGTCAGAACAACGCGAATGATGGGACATTTCGTTGACCCATCAATTTGGCTATAACGTATGAAGGAAGACACCGGAGTACATTTATCGCTTCCCGTTGCTTCGATAAATCTACCCTCCGAAAAACGAGAGAACTATCTGTGTACAGATAAAATCGGGAGCAATGGCTACCCCGAGTCCCCGGTGAGAGAACAAAATGGGAACACAAATCCGTGAGGTTATAGTCGAGGCCAAAGACCCCTCATATCGAGACCCAGGAAGATTGAATGGTATATCCGACATCGAACATGGTAAAGCGACGCACTTCGGATCGAGTATAACTTCTAGACCTCGGGAGATGCGGTGGACGATAATTCATGACAGATATGGGGCCGTAATACTCGCCCTTAACCAGATTTTACAGCACGAACCTCGTTCGATATCGATTATGGATCAACAATTATCGAAAAAAAGAATATTTTTGCCTATTTTAGACTTATACTATGACTGAAATTCTCATACTTTATAAAGGAAAAGTTTTTCTTTTGTCGGACACATTGTAACACGCAATTCAAAGGAATAAAAGTTTACTTTTATCTTCTAGCTACTGTTAAAGGCATTACTCACTTGTTCTGTATTTCATTCGCGACTGGGCTTGAACCGAGGGTCCAATTAAGGACGAGTTCATTTTTCAATCTAAGACCAGGCTTGATCGTAACATTTGCAATTGGTTTGATCGTTTATTTCGTCTTTAATTCATTTATCTGTCATTTATAACTATTCGTGTTGAATTAAACAACGTATCCTTTAAATCGCATACAAATTTAATTGTTACCCAATTTTGGGGTAAACACTTTGAAACGACATTATACACCTTGGTTTTGATAGAAAATCCTTGATTATAATAATTTTGTAAGTGATGACAAAGCAACTATCATACAGTCTTGTGCTCTAAACAAATTTTGTCTCCACGAAATTAAACAGGATACTTCGAATTTTTGTGTGATTAATGGAGGAGCAGGAGAGATTAATTTACAAAAAACTTTGATATTTTTATTTTAAAAATAAATTACTACTATTTCAATAATCTTTCACTTGAGAAAACTTTGGGGAATATCATCGGATTTTGGAAAAATATCAATCAAGACACGATATTATCCAAGTTATCTTTTTTATAGGGTGCGCGAGTGACATGTCTGAATTACGGGAAACTTTAAGGCCTCATCTGTTTTTTTTTAAGATTAAGATGTCTGAATTTGAATATACATTAAATATCAAGATGTGTATGGAGATTAAGATATCTGAGTACACATCTGAATATATTAAGATGTGTATTAAGATCTGAATATTAAAAATTAAGATTGTTCGATTTTTAACATCTGAATGCATAAAATTTATCTTTATTTGAAGAATAATAAACATAAAATCCAAATGAAATACTAACTAATCTAATATTCTATCAATAAAATATATAATTTTTAAAAATATGATAGTTGTTGGTGGTGATGGCTAACAGGTGAATGCCGACTAAAGGCGGTGGTTGGTGGTATTTTGGTTGATGATGGTGGTTCATGCTAGTAGCTAGTAGTGATTGGTAGTGGTGGCGATTATAGTGGTGGTGGGTGGTGATAGTTAATAATGGCGGGTGGTGGTTTGTGATTGAGGAAGGTGGTGGTAGGTTATAATGATGGGCGGTGTGTTAATGGTAATGGGGTGGTTGGTTGTGGTAGTTGAGGTGGATAAATGTTGACTGTGGGTGAGAATGATGGTGTTCCGAGCGGTAGGGATGGTGGATGGTGATGGTCGATAGTGGTGGCGGCTATGATTGAGGATGATGGTGGTGGTGGTGGTTGTTGAGTATGGTGGTGGCGGTGGTTGAGTATGGTGGTGGTGGTGGCATGGTGGTAGTTGATAATGGTAGGCGGTGGCGGCAGTTAATAATGAATATGTGATAACATCTTAATGAAATTAAGTCTATGTTATAGATCTTAATCTTACGGACCTATTCAGATCCATTAAGTAGTTGTGAAGTAAAAAAAAATACTTAATGATTAAGATCTGAATAATTAAGATTCAGACTTTAAAAACAAACACACTTAATGTCTGAGATTGAATGATTAAGATTTAGACCTCCATTAAGTGCAAATAAATGAGGCCTAAAAATGGCTCCGTATCATTTCTTTCTCTTTTTTTTAAATTTTTTTTCCAAAATCTCAAAAAAGAAAAAGTTATATCCTTTTTTAATTGTTATGTTTTGTTTTGAATTTCATGGTGAAGAAACTAGTCAAACACTTCATGTAATCAAGAAATAATCTAGCGTGATATTGTCGAAATTTAAATATTAAATGCTAAATTTTACTATTTAGCATAATTACTCAATTAGATTTTAGTACTTAACATTGATTATAATTTAAAAAGAGTTTCGAATTAGAAATTGGTTGTTATACGATGAATCAAAAGATAGCTAACGAACAAAATCTCTACCAATAACTACGATGGCTTGGGATAGGATAATCTATCAAATTTCACATGTTGTTGAATATTAAATCGGATTTACTATATAACATTAATTGTGATTAAAAAGGAAGGCAAATCGTATATTGTCTAGCGTCAAACCACGAATTAAAGCACGAGTTATAACCTTAACTACTCAATTGAATTTTCGTGTATACCACAATTTTGATTGAGAAAAGGAAAGCAATATGCAAATTGTCTAGCATCGTACTACAAAATCAAAGTGTCACAAGTTCAATATTAATATGTAAATTATGACTTAAAAAGGTATGCAAATTACACATTCTTCAACCTCATACCATGAATAGTTTTAGAAGTTTAAACATTAATTGCATAATTTGTTTTTAGTACTTAACTTAATTATGATTAAAAAAGGTATGCAAGTTACATTGTCAAATGTCATATCCCGAGCTTAAATCTAAACTCTTAATTGGATTTTAGTCGTTAACGTTAATTATTATGATGATTAAAGAAAAATGAGAGTAAATCACAGAATGAATTTCCGAGAATACCCTCACCATCATCATTCAGTATTCAACAAGTTCAGAACCAGAAAGAGGGAAAATCAGGAGGAAGAGCTTTTTGGGTTCAGTTTTTTAAGAATAATAAGAGCTCTTTCCTCTCGACTTTGACTCCGACTCTCTCTTTTTCTCTCTCCGTATGTATACTCATATGCGTATACGCTGAGCATACAAAAATACGTAGTAGTATATGTATATACGTACGTGAAAATCTCCAGATCGAAGTTAGGGTTTTAGTTTTTTAGGTCTTCAAAATGTCAGGGCTTCATCGATCTTCTAGCGCTCCTTCAAAAAATGGCCTTCCTCCTCAGGAACTCCTTGACGATCTTTGCAGGTGCCTACTGCTCTTTATGTTATTGTGCAAAACTTTATTTATTTATTTATTTATTTTTTGTTGCATTTTTAGTGATTCAAGCTATTTTTCGGACTTGGTTGTGAAATAGTGTACTTTTAGTGATTATAATTTCAAAATTTAGCTATAGTAGTGTTAATTAGTGTTAACTTCGTGCACTCAAGGGTGTGACCTGGTTAATGAAGTGGTAAGAGAACCATGATGTCTCAATTCAGATCCCAGCGAGGCAATACTACTAGGTGATTTCTGCTTAAAGCCTTGGTGGATAGAATTATCTCGATACCTGTACTGGTGGGAGGTAGTAGGTACCCGGTGGAATGGTCGAGGCGAATGCAAACTGGTCCAGTCATTGGTGTCATAAAATTATATAGTGTTACCTTTGCCTATGCGAGCTGCCCAACGGCTATTGATCTTTAGTTAGGATAAAAAAGGATGGTTGTGGTAGGTTGATCACAGTGTTAAAAGCTAGTGTAAATAAGGAGGATCCAATAGAGAATGAAATGGACCTCAATTTAAGATATAGAGGATTAACATCCAATGGTGTAGGTTAGTGATGTAGTTGGAATGAATACCATGGGAGATTAAAATGTTAGAACTCCGAGAAAGCAAGAAAAGTTAGGTTAATTCTTGTGATCTATATATTTGGTGCTTCGCGTCATTCGGTACTTTAAAGGTAAGATGATGCATGTAGTTGAGGGAAGTAGTAGATTCAAGCAAGCTGACCTGGTTGCCGATGTTATAAGAAGTAGCAGATTCATGTAAATGACCTAATTTGGTATTTGAATTGAAGTTGATTGATTGATTGGGTCTTATTAGTTGCATGTAATTCAACAGCTTCATGTGATGGAGAGTTCTCTTGTTTCGTTGGAATTATGACTACCTAAGATAAATTTAAAAATGTGGGAAATGGAATTCCTAATTTCTTGAACGTAAGGGCAAGTTCAATTTCTTAGTTGCTGAGACTGTTGGGACGGAATAAAGGAAGGAACGGGTAGTTCTTCTACTTGAGTATTTTATGCCCTGCTTAAAACAAATACTACCTTTAAACTCTTTTGTTCTCACTGTGTTATAAACCTATTGCTTGTTCTGACAATAGTTCCTACACTTGTGATTGAATTCATTGAGATGTGTTATCCTAGGCGTGTGCATCATTGAAACCAACACCTATTTTTTTTTTAATGACGCACATCCGATCTAGCTAGTATGCACTTAAAATAATCCATTGGCAATCCTGCTATAATCCAAACGTATGTATCGATTAATTCTCCCCACCAAGTCTAAAGGATATCGGCCCACACTAAGTGTTGTAATTGAAATTGAGATCTACAGCTTCCAAGTTGTTACTCCCGTTTCAATCACTCAGCCAGCCTCTAGTGTTTTGGGACATCTGTCGAATTATGAACATGAAAGTGGGTTGGTTAAATTGGCATCCGGAAGACACAAGTAATGATAAAGTATGGAAAAGGGTAGAAGAAACGTAAGAGCAGAGTTCTTTGTCAAAAAAAAAAAAGAAACGTAAGAGCAGAGTTTGCCCACCCGTGATTGACACAAGTTCCACTTATTTAACATTCGAGGACACATGCATGTAGTGTTAAATAGGCAAGGTGATCCAGTGTTGGAATGGAATGGTGTTCAATAGAGTAAAATGGATATAGAAGTCAGTATAGATCACCCCAAATAGTTTGGCAGTGATGAGTGGTTGATTGATTGATCAATAGTATAATAACAATGCTTCCATAATTAATCATTCATGAATGTTTGCAATTTCTTCAGTATTTTATTTGGATAGGAAGACATATTGCTTCCTTTGGTCAATATTATAACATGGTAAGCTAATTTTTATCTCATGGTAATGAAAGCTTATGACTTCAATAAAATGCATTCTTTCCTGGCATATACTGTATTCTATTTCATCTGCAATTACTTAAAGTTGGGTCTAGCAGCCTGTTATATTCTTTTGACTTTACTTGATTAATGGTAGATAATTGTGAAATTATGCATTTTTTATCTTTACTTGATAAATATGTTTCCTTTTCTTTTGACGCAGTCGGTTTGTTTTGAACGTGCCAAAAGAAGATCAGCAATCATTTGAGAGGATTTTATTTCTTGTGGAGTATGCACATTGGTTTTATGAAGACAATTCTGTAGAAAAAAATCCATCATTGAAGTCTTTCACTCTCAAGGAATTTACATCCTTAAGTATCCTTGATGATAGGACCTAGGTCGACAATTTTTTAAATGCAGAGTATTATCTTGCACGCAACTTACCTCTTTCATTGGGATTTGCATGTTGTTACTCTTTCGAACTTGAATGCCCTCTGTTCTTTTTTCTTTGCATATAATTAGCCACTTGACATGCTTTCCACCAATTTGATTGCAAAGTATGACGTTGATATTAATAACCCAAAAAAGGGGCGCGGGATGACGGATAATTGTGATATTGCTATTGTTCTCCATAGTCGTCATTATATATACTCGTTTCTTTTTTTTCCTATATGGTCATTGTTGGGCCAAGGTTCAGGTGTTTCTCTTAGGGCTGAGTGTTTTATTTGTATTCTTTCCCTTTTTTTTAATTTGTTTAAGGAGCTCCCTGAACATGCAAAATGTTCGTGAAGATTGGAAATAAAATCTAAAGAAAGAACTATTTTTGATAAGTAAGGGTAATATTTTTTATAAGATTATCTGAAGAAAGAATTATGTTGACAGTATAAGGTGGACATATATGATAGGGTCACTGTTTTTGACTTTCGTCCCTAAGTTGTTTTGCTTACTAATTCCATGTTGGCTTGTGTATCTGGAGACGAGCATATGAGCATCCCGGCTTTCCTTAATCAACGACAGTGTTTAACAGTTGTGATGTTTTAAAACCATATGTTCCTCACATAGATGACATATTCAAGGACTTTACCTCTTACAAGGTTCGAGTTCCTGTAACTGGGGCCATCATCCTTGATGAAACTTTTGAAAGGGTAAGTCTCGTTTGCATTGAGAGCTGCATATTCTAGTTCCTTCTCCTTAAGAGATAAATATCATATTTGTCAGATTCTTATAGTTGATTGGTGTTCTAAATTTTGTGCTTTATTAAGCCTGTTACATTTTAGGACCTATATTCATGTATGACCCAGTCCCTTATCAAAAAATTCATGTATGACCCAGTGATTAATATGTTACTGGAACTTAGAACATTGCTGCTTTGACTTTTTGAGGACCTATATTCAGTTAACTGCAGTCATTTCTCTCTCTATTCTTTTTAGTTCGATGATTATCCTTTTCCCTATTCTAATTTAAAAAGAACAAAGGATATAGTGAAAGTTGTTGCGAATTATCAAGGCCTTAAACTTTTGAGTCATACAATGAAACTTTGGGAAAGAGTGGGAGCATAGATTTAGGGACATTACAAGAATGACAGAGAATCAGTTTGTATTTACCCTGTCGATCTACGCCAGAGACTATATTCTTGCTAAGAAGATCTATGGAAATTTATCGCGCGAGGAAGAACAACTTACACATGGTGTTGACTGTTCATTGACCTGTAGAAAGCATATGATAGAGCACCAAAAAATGTCCTTTGGTGGTGTTGGAGAAGAAAGGTATTCATATTAATTTATGAGTGCCATAAAGGGCATGTATGAAGTAGTTGTTACTAGAGTGAGAACAATAATAGGAATATAAATGAGTTTCTCATAACTGTGGGTTTACACCAGCGATCGGAGATTTTACACCATGAAAAGGAAATAGCTATGCAGGTGAAAATGTGTTACAATATACTCAGGCAGTGAAGCAACCAAGAGCGGAGATTTTGCCACTCCGAATTCTATTCTATTTCAAATTAGTGAAGTTCCGTTATGGCATCAAAAGTTCCTTGAATTCCCTGAGTGTTGAAAATTGAGTTAATAATTGGTATGCCAGAAGGTTTTTTTTCTGCTTATGGCCATGGTTCTTGTCTGGTCATCTTTTTGTTGTAATGTTTCAAGGTTCTATTTCCTGATGTACTGTTGAGTTCTTGTTCAAACTGTGTCTTTTGGATTTTAAGTATCTCATGGATTATTTATGTCAAATACAGTGCTTGCTAGTAAAGGGATGGAAGGGTTCAAGTTGGAGTTTTCCACGTGGGAAAAAGAATAAAGATGAAGAGGACCACACTTGTGCAGTTAGAGAAGTAAATTCTCTTTACCTTTTTGTTAATCAAGAAGTAAATTCTTTTTAATTCAACAATGCTCCAATTGACATTAAAGATTCATGTAAATGTTTGTGGAGCATTCTTTCGCTTCGGTTTTCTTAATACCTTGTTGCTTCTGATTCTTTTTCATCTTGTCTTTAGCTGAGGGTCTATCGAAAACAGCCTCTCTGCCCTCCCACCTCTGTGCCCTCCCACGGTAGGGGTAGGGTTTGTGTACACACTACCCTCCCCGGACGCCACTTGTGGGAACCTATTGTTTTTTTGTTTTTGTTTTTTGTTGTTGTACATGTTTGTGGAAGCATACAAGGTTATCTGTTACTTGATTGGTTTTAGTTGATTTAAGGTGACTGATTTTGCCTAAGAGATGACAGTGAAGGATAAAGTTTGGTAGCGATGATATAATGGCTCACCCTACCTTTCTGAGTTCCATCATGATTAGAGATGCACATATAAATATCTTACTAGCTGAACTTCTTCTCTGAATTCTTTAAGTAAGGTGTCATTCCTTTTTTTCCATTAAAATTCATGTTCTTCTAATGCAGGAGATATCTTTATTTGCAAAAATTACTTAGCTCAAACTACCTTAGACCTTTTGCAAAGATATCGTGGGTGGGGTGGGGTGGGGTGGGGGGGGGGTCTTTCCTTGCAGATAGTTGGGGCCATTAGGAGGGATTTCATCAGCCGAGATGTAATTTGGCTTTTGATTTGTCTATCAATTATTGAGTTGTGATCCAGAAAATTTTGTCGATTGTTTCATATGTAGAATTTTTATCCTACATGAGGAAAATAAGATATACTTACTCCCATTAAAAGGAGATCATGAGTGAAACACAATCCTATGGAATGCGATGGGGATTGGATAAACAGCGAGGGGTCTGTTCTTCTGCACCTACTACCAACTCTCCTTTCCTTTCTAACCTAGATTTCTTTTTTAACTTTTAATTTCTCAGAGGCTCAAGTATAACTATAACAACATTAATCAAAAATCAGACGGTAATGACATTTATCGAACTAGGGATAAAAGGTTTATCCAATTCTATGTACGTCTTCTTGTAAATGCCAGTAATAAGGTCATCTGAATTTACTTTTAAAGCTGTTCAAGTGAAGTTAACATTCTATACATGATGAGATCCGATGCCTTATGCTATTTGCGCACTATATTGTGTTAATTGATGAAACTAGGGTGTCAATCAAAAGTTTGAACTATGGAGAACCTCATTAAAGAGTAAGAATTTTAGGATAAGTAGAAGTAAGATTCAATAGGTGCATTGCAAGTTTAGCCAACATAAGAAGAGCGAAGTGAGGTATGGGATTGCGGTGTGTAAATGCAAAAAATTAGATAATAGATACCTATGTTCGATGATCCGGATCAAAATGGTATGGTATGATCGATGAAGATATACACATGGAATCAAAATAAGGTGGTTAAAACGGAGAGGTGCTACCGGAGTGTTATGTGATAGAAGGATAACTACAAAGTGCAAGTAGCATATATAGAGCATAATCTGAGAGGTTTCTTGAGATAATCTGGTCATGTACTAAGTCGACCTCTAGATGGACCGTTCCATAGGCCTAAACAGTGGTGAATGAAGGTGTTAAAAAGGGGACGAGGTAGACCTATAATCACATGAAAAGAAGTTATCTTCAAAGACCTACAATCTCTTGGAATCCATGCAAACCTAGCAAAAAACAGAGCACAATGGAAAAAAAAGATAGGTATAGGCGATACCAGTTAGTGGGAATTGCGTTTTAGGCGAAACCAAGTTCTTGGAAATTTGGGAAGAAATTGCCACAATTGCAAAGTGGACAGCTTGTTAGATTTGCTCAAAAGACTTAGGGAGAAAGATGGATTGATGAAAGTGGGGATTTTTTGTTTTGGCTTGCATACAGCAGCAACATATATTCTGCTAAGTCTGGTTACAAAGATGCTCTGTCTTTTAGAGGGCGAAATTGTTGACTGGCCACGACAATTATTGTGGAAAGCAAAAGCTCCTCCTAGGGTTGCATGTTTTTGGGTGGATAGTTTTAAATAAAGCCCGTCTCACTCTTCAAAATTTGCCAAAAGAGGCTATGCACCATGCAGCAGAGCCTACCTGTGTCGAAATTTCAAATCATTTGTTTTTGCATTAAAGAAAAACATGGAGTTATGGAACATTTTCCAACGGCTGTTCAATATTGCATTAGCGATAGCTAGTAGGTTGACACAAGTCTTTAGCAGCTGGACTGGAATGCTGATGCAAAAGACTTACAGGAAGCAACAACAACAACAACAACAACAAACCTAGTGAATTCCCACAAGTGGGGTTTGGAGAGAGTAGTGTATCTTGGGAAGGCAGAGAAGTTGTTTTTGATAGACCCTCGGCTAAAGAGAAGATTAAAAGAAGCAGTGGCTACAAGTAGTAAAAACGGTAAGTTATTAAGAAAACGAAGCGAAAGATAGCAATCAACAATAAGCAGTAATAGCAATCTATGAATAGGAAGGATAGCAAACTAGCATTAGTGCTACCGGTCTGAGAAAGAAAAGGAAAACGCACAACTATGTACTAACCTTCTACCCTAATCCTCGACCTCCACACCCTCCTATCAAGGGTCATGTACTTAGTAAGCTCCAACTGCACTATGTCCTACCTAATCACCTCTCCTTAATACTTCTTTAACCTACCTTTACCTCTCTTCCTACCCACCAAGGCCAACCCTCACACCTCCTAAGTGGGGCATTTATGCTTCTCCTCTTCACATGCCCGAACCATCTCAGCCTTGCCTCCTGCATCTTATCCTCCACTGAGGACACGCGCACCTTTTCCCAAATAAGAAATAACTTCATTCCTAATCTTATCTGACTTGGTATGCTCGCACATCCATCTCAACATCCTCATTTAGGTACTTTCATCTTCTGGATATGAGAGTTCTTGACTGGCCTACGCTCTGCCCGATACAACATAGTCGGTCTAACCACCACTTTGTAGAACTTACCTTTAAGTTTCACTGCCACATTCTTATCACGTAGGATGCCGAGTGCGAGGCTCCATTTTATCCACCCTGCTCCTATACGATGTGTGACATCCTCATCAATCTTCCTATTTCCTTGTATCACTAACCCAAATTGAAACTTCCTCTCTTGGAGATAACTTGTGTATCAAGCGTTACATTCATGTTCGCTTCGCTAAACTTGCACTCTAAATATTCTATCTAGGTCCTGCTCAACTTGAAACCTTTAGACTCTAAAGTCTGTCTCCAACAGTGTTATCAAAGGCGCGCTTAAGCCTTAAAGCGAGGCTCAAAACACGTTGAGCGCTTCACCTCGCTTAACGGGCGCTTCAGTGTTGTCATCAAGGCGCTAAGGCATGCTTTTCCTTGCCAATAAGCGTAATCCTGAAAAGGCGACACCAAACAATTGATATTCACTTTATCGTAAATTATCTTCATTTTTTTGTCCATATATTTGGTATGCATGCTTATAGATATTAGGCTTGGACTACACATACATATTTGTAGTTTTACTCTATTTGCGCCTTTCTTCCTTAAAGCCCACACTTTATTTGCGCTTTGCGCTTAAAGCCCCAACATACCTTAGAGCTTTTTTGCGCTTTTCGCCTTTGATAACACTGGTCTCCAAACCTCCAGCCTCTCATTAACACCACCTCGCGTCATGTCAATCAGAACTATGTCATCTGCAAATAACATACACCATGGAACCTCCCCTTGAATGTGTCGTGTCAACACGTCCAATGCCAAGGAAAATAATTTGGATCCCTGTGGGAGGAGCAACATCAAAGATGCATAAGAGGAATTTGCTATTCTGTGCACCAACTCAAACATTTTTATTTATAACTTGTCATTTTGGTCAAAACATGAATATGTAAATATCATAGATAATTGATAAGTTTCCCTAGCTATCCGTGTTAAGGATAAATTGGTCTTATGACCAGTTTGTATATGCTTTTGTACATGCACCTTGTTGGTGCTTCAGTAATCAATATTTTGTTATCCTTACCTTTTATCCAAAAAAAGAAAAGAAAAAAGGAATTAGTCATGTTAGTACGTTCTGCAGGTCCAATGGTTGCTAGTAGTTTTTAAGTATTGTTAGAGATTTACATACCAATAGAAGACATAGATAACTTCTAGTGTTAGAGAAACTAATTTTTAATTTGTCTGAGATAAGTTTAAATGGAGCAATATGGACAATGAGGATTTGTACCACCAACCCCAACATATTTAATATTGATTATTGAGGGGTAGATGTCGTGACTTGTTGAATTTGAATTTTTTTTGGAAAGAAGAGACATCAAATATTTCGTAATTAAGGAGAAAGCTGTTTGGACCAGTCCATGAAGAAAATTCAATTTAAGTTCTACATGAGGAATGGGTAGTATGTGGTTTGTACTTAACGTCCCATGGTGGTACTGGTGTATCATGGTATAAAGGAGGAGCAATGGCCGAAGAAGATGGTATAAAGGAGGAGCAATGGCCGAAGATGAAACTTGTGGTCTTAAAAGCTTAAAGGTAAAAGCTTTGTGAGCCATAATATTTGTGTGGCTATAAAACTTCTCATTAAGGGTCAAATGAGTAAAATGAAAAGTTTAAAGTTATATTTTCTTCAAAATTCAAATATAGAAATATGTCATCCTTTATGGAACGGTCTAATGAGGAAAGTGTGTCACATAAATTGAAATGGAAGGAGTAACATTTTTGGTTCCTCTATTTTTGGATCAAAGCTTTGTGGTTCAAAGGGAAAAGAGCAGAAACTGATTTAATTTCTTTATTGTGAATGGATCAGTTTATCAGAAACTGAGTTACAAGCTATCTAGAAGTCACAGAAAGTCTGCAATAGTTTACTTTTATAGTAGTTTATTTTAGGATCATACTTTTCTCTGTTTTAATAAGTTGGCATGGGATCTGACTGCTCCAAATTGAAGATTGTTCTTCTTCCGTTTCAATTTAGATGAATCTATTTCCTTTTTGGTACGTTTCAAAAAGAATGACCCCGTTCTAAATTGGGAAATAATTTAACTTAAACTTTCAATCGTACCCTCAATGAGAAGCTTTTATAGCCACAAATACTCTGGCATGTTTAACACTACAAGTTTTAAAGAATTTTAGCCACACAAAAGTTATGGCTTGTTTAGGACCACAAGTTTTAAAAGACTTTATTTTTTTCTTAAACTCCGTGCCCAGTCAAATAGGTTCACATAAATTGGAAGGGAGTAACTGTTATGAAATCTTGGTAATTCTATATGTGATTAAGGCCTCATTTGTTTGTTTTAAGATTAAGACGTTTGAATCTGAATACATATCTGATGAAGAAACAAGATACTGAATCTGAATATGAAGATGTGTATTAAAATTAAGATATTTGAATCTAAATGCACACCTGAATATTAAGATGTGTATTAAGATCTGAATACTAAATGATTAAGACGGTTTGTTTTTTTAACATCTGAATATATAAAATCTATATTTAAAAATTAATAAGCATAAAATTCAAATAAAATACTAATTAATCTAATGGTGGTGGTTCTAGGTAGTAGCTAGTGGTGATTGGTAGCAATGACAATTATGATTGAGGATGGTGGTGGTGGATGGTGATTGTTAATAATAGTGAGGTAGTGGTTGTGATTGTGATCGGGGAAGGTGATGATGGGTGGTGGTAGTTTATAATGGTGGGCAGTGCCGGTTATGGTTATTGATGGTGATGTGGTGGTTAGTTGTGGTGGTTGAGGTGGGTGAGTGTGTAGTTATGGTTGAGGATGATGGTGGCAGGGGTAGTGGGTGGTGGTAGTGATGGCGGCTATGGTTGAGGATGGTGCTGGTAGTAGTTGATAATGGTAGGTGGTGACAACAGTTAGTAATGAATGTGGATGATAGCATCTTAATGAAATTAAGTCTTTGTTATAAATCTTAATCATACAGACCCATTAAGTGGTTGTGAAGTAAAAAAATACACACACTTAATGATTGAGATCTTAAGGGTTAAGATTCAGACTTGAAAACAAACACACTTAATGCCTGAGATCTGGATGATTAAGATTTAGACCTGCATTAAGTGCAAACAAATGAGGCCTAAGATTATCCTTTGGGGAGCTGGCAGCAACAGTTTATTTCTATTTTTTTTTTGTTCTCTTGCCCTTTTCATGGACAACCTTAAGTAATTACCTTCCATGGTTTATCTTTATACAATGCCCGGTTTGACTTCAACTATCTAAATCATGCTCTGTATTGGATGCAGGTCTTGGAAGAAACAGGATTTGATGTATCAAAACTTCTTCATAAAGATCAATTCCTTGAAATGACATTTGGACAGCAAAGGGTGCGGCTTTACATAATAGCTGGAGTGAAAGAGGATACAGCATTTGCCCCACAAACTAAAAAAGAAATTAGTGTAAGTGAAATACTTTGTGCATTTTAAAAGCTGAAAAGGAGATCAGTATAGCAGAAACACTCTTGTCGAAGTGTAATCCGTTTATCAATGTCCTTTTCTTGTTATCTTTAATAGATGGATTTATGCTGTTCCAACTAAATTAAAATATTGCTAATATTGAATTACTGTATGGTCTATTAGTACATTTATTTTTTAGAATGATGGTATATCATTTGCTTGCCTTTGTTGACTTTAAGATTATGTGTAAGAATTTGTTTGTTGGAGCCCATGCTAATAGATAATTTTCTGAGCTTACTACCTTAATTTAATACGACTATATGGAGCAGCAGATTCCTATGGAATTTTACTCGCCATTGACTTCGCATTTCTCAGTGTCATATGCCATGTATTATGGGTACAAAGTTCAGTGATGACCTGTTGAATGAGATGTATGTTATGTAGGTATGGCATGCTGATACATTTCAGCTGGATCTTATAGCCATAATTATTTGGATGAAGTATTGAACTTTATTTTCGGAGGAACAATTGAGTTACTATTGCAATGTCAATCACAAAAGATATGCTAAGGAGTGTCTTTCCTCTCATGATTATGCATGAAGTTGAAACTTTAGATGCTATCTAGAATTACACTTCTTTAATTGGTTGACATCTGCAGGAATCTTTGAAAGTTAATTTTTGTAACATGGACGTTATTTTGCTCTCCCATTGGTTACTTTAACATTGATAATCATTCTCTATACAACGCACAAATTGCATGCAAACACGTGCATGTGTTCTAAAATTTACGGATTGTATATGAAGCTGGCATGGTATAATCACTTAGGTTGTATATATGCAAAGCGCATCTTCAAATACGAGAATCCGACTGTGACTGCTTCCTCTGGGAATTAAAATTTGTTGGTTTGCATGTTGAATTCAGGAAATTGCATGGCAAAGACTGGATGAACTTCAACCAGCAAGTAATGACGTCATATCTCGTGGGATGACTGGCCTCAAGCTCTACATGGTTTCTCCATTTTTAACGTGAGTGAAATGCTTAGTTTCTAAGCCTGGAGGATGCCCTTAAGTTGTTTCGCTAATGATTCCAAATACTTTTCACAGATCTTTGAGATCGTGGATTTCAGCACATCAGCCTCCAGTAGCACCTAGACTGGATAGACCTTCAAGAGGTGCATTCTTTCTCCATTTCCCCAAATCCTCTCTTCTGTAGTAGCTAACACGTCATCTAGTAGGTTGATCTTGACTGTTGTTTGAATTCGATTACTTATCTATCCTCCGGGAAACTAGCTTAATGAAGTTTCAATTTACATCAAGTTGGTTGGGTTAGAATGCCGGTCAATTTTATATTTCTCCCATTTGAGATGAATAGTCATATTTTACTGCAGATTACTTGTATATCTAACATCAAGATAAAGTGGAAACTTTACTCTTTGCATCAAACTTTGAGACAGTAAGGTAACTAAGATGATGATCCAAGTACGCATTTCAAAGATTATAAATAGTTTGGAACATATTAATAGGGTAAGGTGGATCTCTGAGGGGGGGGGGGGGGAAGCCTTGCTGTAGCCGGTAAAGTTGCTGCCATGTGAACCAGTTCAGGTTTATGCCGGGGCGTTCGACTACGGAAGCCATCCACCTTGTTAGGAGATTGATGGTGCAGTATAGGGAGAGAAAGAGGACTTGCATATGGTGTTCATCGACTTAGAAAAGGCGTACGGTAAAGTTTCGAGGGAGGTTTTGTGGAGATGTTTGGAGGCTAAAGGTGTACATGTTGCTTAGCTAGGGTGATTAAGGACATGTATGATGGAGCAAAGACCCGAGTGAGGACGGTGGGTGGGGACTCGGACCATTTTCCAGTTATGATGGGTTTGCATCAGGGGTCAGCACTCGGCCTTTTTCTGTTTGCCCTGGCGATGCACGTACTAACGTGCCACATTCAAGGGGAGGTGCCATGGTGCATGCTATTTGCAGATGATATTGTATTGATTGACGAGACGCGAGACGGTGTGAACGCGTAGTTAGAGGTATGGAGGCAGACCCTGGAGTCTAAAGGTTTCAAGTTGAGCAGGACCAAGACAGAATACTTGGAGTGTAAGTTCAGTGGCGAGACTCAAGGAGGGGAAGGGGAGGTGAGGCTGGACTCGCAGGTCATCCCTAGGAGAGGCAGTTTTGAGTACCTTGGGTCTATTATTCAGGGTGATGGGGAGATTGATGAAGATGTCACACATCGTATTAGGGCGGGATGGATGAAATTGAGACTCGTTTCCGGTGTTTTGTGTGACAAGAAGGTGCCACCGAAACTTAAAGGTAAGTTCTACAGAGTGGTGGTCGGACCGACGATATTGTATGCGGCTGAGTGTTGGCTAGTCAAGATCGCTCATGTCCAGAAGATGAAGGTAGTAGAGATGAGGATGTTGAGATGGATGTGCGGGCACACCAGGTTAGATATGATAAAAATGAGGTTATTCGCGACAAGATGGGTGTGGCCCCTATTGAGGACAAGATGCGGGAAGCGTGGCTTAGGTGATTTGGTCATGTGAGGAGGAATACAGACGCCCCGGTGAGGAGGTGTGAGAGGTTGACATTGGAGGGCCTACGGAGAGGTAAAGGTAGGCCAAAGAAGAGGTGGGGAGAGGTGATTAGGCAAGACATGCCGCAGCTTCAGCTGACCGAGGACATGACCCTTGATAGGAAGGTATGGAGGTTGAGGATTAGGATAGTAGAGTAGGTAGTCTAGAGTGTTCATAGCAGTAGTATTGGCATGCAGTCTCGCTTTCTGTTGGTAGTAGGTTTTTATGACTAACTGTTTTCTTTCATTGTTGGATCACCTTACTATCTTGTTTTTATTCTGTTTTTTATGGCTTTTTGGTGCTGTCCCTTCTTGTCTATATTTTCATTAATGTGGTGCTTATGCTTTCCTGAGCCGAGGGTCTATTGGAAACAACCTCTCTATCCTCACAAGGTAGGGGTAATGTCTTCGTACGCACTACCCTCCCCAGACCCCACGGTGTGAGATATTACTGGGCATCATGTTGTCGTATTGGAGGTGATTTGGACTGATTTGGTATCAAAATTCGTAGTTAAAATCTAGTTCAAAAAATTCTTCTGTGACCCATATATCAAACACGTATCACGCATATATTTCACACACAGGTATACATGGATATATATGTGACACATTTGATACAGATATGATACATATGTGATTCACAAATGATACACAATGTGATACACATTATTTTTTTCCATGTTCATCCTCTACTTCGTATTTTCAATTCAAACCAACTCAAAACTCTACGAAATCATCCCAAAATTGGGATTTAAACTCCTTAAGATATATCCAATCTATTCTAACAATACCCACTCAAAACAAAGCAAAAGATTGACATTTTTTCCGCTACAAATAGCTAATTGGCTAATGTGGGTAATATTTTATGCATTGGCTAATTTTTGTACTAACTTATGAGCTGACATAACTGATAATTTTCCTTATGTAATTCCCTTTCTCCCACCATTGAAACCACTTCAAACCCCCC